GTGCTYAGTTTCCGGTGTAATTCTCTTATTAGTACATGTATGTATTCCGTATAGCCACAGGGTTACTACTGCGTGCAGGTACTGTATTAGACCTTTGTGCCAACAGCTCGCATTTGGACTCATTTATCATTCAAAATCTGCCTATAAAGAGAAACATTTAAATAATAAAAATAATTACTGAGATGAAAGATACAAATCAGTGTTAGTTGCATCTTAGACCTGTTTCTTGCTTCTGCATGGGGGAGGAATGACGAGAAGAGTAAATGGGAATGGCAGTCACAAGAGTAAGGTGCTTTCGACCTGTTGAAGGGGTCTCTTTTTTGTTCTTAACACAGACATCCATCAAYAAGGACGATGTAGAGCTGCCTGGGTCTGAAGCATGGGGAAGAGAAATGCTCCAGGAGGTCCTTGGTCTTCCCTGGTTCCTTACAGGAATTCACATATTTTCCTGTAGGCAGAACTCAGAGTATTTTGTGAACCTCAGTATATGTTGCTCCCGMGAGCCTTAATGAGGTTCAGAGCTAATACCATAATTCTGCATGTTTAAATAGTATTGAACCACACCTTCAGCTGTCACTGACTGGCACAGCTCTAGTGGCTGAAGACTGTCCAAACCTACCTGTATTCTCAGATATTTGTCAGGTGCCCCCCAACCCAGCACTTAGATGTGCCCATTGTACCCTGGCCATCCCTCAGGTCTGCTCTGTGTTGCCTCACTGGTGAARCACAGCTGTTGGGGGATTGTCCCTGTGAGAAGAGAATGTCCTCAGTGGGATCCTCAGCACATTAAACTGATGCCAGACATACCCRCCATGCTGCCAAATGTGCTGCACGAGACAGCTTTAACTTTACATTAGCAAAAGCTGGGACAATGTGCAGAAGCTGTGACAGAAGCATGAATAAATGATTTGCCTGAGATGATGCAGAAGGGCTGGTGGTGAAGCATGGAGGGAGCTCTGGTCTACTCACTCTGAGTCTGTGTGCCAGTCCCAGGATGCTCTCCTGCTCTCCCCCACCCAAAGGCATATGAAACTGTGATTTGAGCATCTTTGCTGTTATATTGGCAGCAGAGGAGAGCTMAGATTGACTAAACCACTGAAACTAATAAACTTCTCATGTGCACGCAGGGACATCAGATTAATTAGTTTGCTAAGCAGCKGAGCTGGAGCTGTGCAGCTGCCTAACAGTGATAAAGAGGAGAGAGCTTCAAACCAGTGGCCTTTCTGCTGTCTGCTCCTTCCATCTCAGCTCTAAATGGCAGATGAGGAGAACAGAGGTAGTGAGCCAAACATATGCAACCTATGCATACTGTGCTGAGCTGCATAATCCAGGGGCATTGTTCGTGGTGTCATTGTTCGCTGTGTCACTTCTCAAAAGCTCCCACTGCTGTCATTGGAGGGAGGCTTCACTGCTGGTTTCTGTGGGAGCACTGGGACATTGGTGTGGGGAGCTTTTGAAAATCCACTTCTAAAATGCAAATGCTTTCCTTCTTTAATAGCCACTTGAAGCCAAGCGTGATCAACAAACACAAAACACTTTCACAGCACAGACATGCTGTGGATTATGGTTCTCACCACTTTTCCTTTTTCCTTTTCTTTTTCCTCTGCATAATACAGTTTGTCCCTTAGTTTCCCAAAGTGAAATTAATTAGCAATTTCATAAAAATCCTTGGTCTACAATGATTAGATAATCACTGCTTGTGTATTAAGCAGTCACTGGGAAGGTGCCCGGGCAGACAARTTGTGTCTGCAGAAAAAGTGGTGAAATTTTGATCTCTTTGTTAGCACCTTCCCTTCCTGGGAGCTGTTCAGAGCAGGTTAGACAGACAGCTTTTGGGAGCTGTTTGGGTGTAGCTTGTCCTAGYTTTGGGGCAGAGAGACTAGCACGTTCCACTAAACCTGTCCAGCCTTTCCAAGCTCCCTTTACTGTCACTAAAGGATGTTGCATTTTTGATGCAAATGCTTCTTCCAATAGGTTACTGTGCTCAGTGATTTTGCAGTGGTTACTTGGTTAAATAAACTCTGTGTGTGGCCAGGTCAGCTGCTGCTGTGCTCTTGACTCAGGTGCTTACTCCTGTGCTAAAGGATTTGTAAACTCAGCAGAGTCGCTGACGTTTAAAATGCATTTAAATGCACACACGTTTGGGTCCTGAAAGGCGGGGAACTAGAAGGCATGGCTGCTGGAGGCTTACCCTGAGCCTCTGGCTCCCCCGGCTGGAGCCAGTGTGGGAGAAGGCATGGTGGGGACCCGGGGACAGGACTAAGGCTTGTCACACAGCTATAAAGGTATCTACAGTATCTGCTCACCTTTAAGTACCATCTCCTTATCAGTTGCTGTACAATAAACAGGTGCTGCTCTGTGGAATGATGAAATTGTTTCTTTTTTTTTTTTTTTTTTTTTTTTTTTTTTTTTTTT